TGGAAACCACTTTTCCCAGCTTGATTATTCCCTTTTGGCTTTCATGTCCTTGTCCTGTCTTAAAAAGACCTCTGCGTAACACCTACAACCTGCTGTGACAAGTTTGCAAAACATTTTAATGATAAAAATAGTTTGCATGTGTTCTGACTTATCCTGTAAACCTGAGCATAACCTGAAAGCAGGTTTGGACAGTGGAAACTGAGATAGCTAGCTGTCCAATATAATGGATGAGTTTCACCTTGACCTGTAGACATGGACAAGCTGCTTGGAAGAACTTCTTGTCTTTTGCAGTGACAGACTGATGAGCTAAATTATGATGATGATGATTAATGCTTTCTTGCAAAAAGCTGTTTAATCCTTTAAACAGGAATGTAATAATGCAATTTTCATGGGTGGTAGTGGGGGGAAGAAATGATTGTTATTCTAAGATTTTATTTTTTTATTCAGGGCCGTCAAGAAAATGGCAACCATGCAATTATAAGTTTTGGAAGCTGATCATCTGGCTCTTTTGCAAACCAGTTTACTTTAGGGCAGGGGACAATTGACAGGCTTGATGAAAAAAGTAATTTTAATCTTTCATTGATTGATATATTATGTTCTATCAGTATCAACTTTTAGCAACCTGTATTGGACAGAATACAGGAGAAGAACCACTCTCAAGATAATGGTTAGATAAAAGAGGATTGAGTCAGGGCTGGGATGCTGCCAGTTCTGCCCGGTTCAAAAGAACCAGTAGCTCTGAAGAGCAGCAAACTCTGAACCAGTTCTGTGTTTGCTGCTGTTTGGCCCACCCACCCACCTGGGCTCTTACCTGTCCTTTATTTCCTGCTTTTTCAACTTCAGCTGCTTTGCGTGGCACAGCTGAGGTTGAAAAAGCAGGAAAAAAGAGGTTTTTCAAATGCTGTGCACCTGTGCGCAGCGCTTTTCAGCTGTCCGTGAAGCGCACGCAAAACATAGTCACCAAACCAGTAATAACACAGGTTGAATCCCACCCCTGGGTTAAGTCCAGGACAAAAATGTAAGCTGAATAAATGTCTCAGACAGAGCTCTCCCTAATTCTCATGAAGATAAGGGGGTGGAGGGAGAGGAGGATTAAATGCATTCAGTCTTGCAAGATTCTGTTATTATAACTTTTCACTATTATAAACATCTCCAAAGAACTAAGTCTTTGCATAATGTATCTGAAATATCATAATGTGATCCTGGTCATCTGTGCTTTAAGTGAGAACTCTGGATTGATTTATTCATTGAACTGTTTGTTTGTTTTCTTGGTTGTCCATGGGATTCTCAGGAGTCTTCTCCAACACCAAAGTTCAAAAGTATCAATATTCTTTCAATCTTGCTTTTTTCAAGTCCCAACTTTTGCTTCCCGAGATGCCACTAGGATAACCATTGCCTGAACAATTCTGATCTTTGTCTATAGCTATCATGACATCTGAATATCTTTTTCATCTCCTTCATGGCTACTTTATTAAGTGCTAGTTTGCAGTGTATTTTTGACTGCTGGTTCTTCTATTGATAGATGATCTTCAACGGCAGAAGCTACCCATCATTTCAATATCTTCATTGTCTATTCTGGGACTGTGTCTGTTGTGATTATTTTGATTTTTACATTTAATCCTTGTCCCATTTACCACTGTGCCCTTTGACTTTCATTACTAGAACTTGCCGATTATTTGCATTTTTAGCTATCAGAATAATTTCATTATCGTAGTGCACATTATTGATATTTCTTCTTCCAATTTTCTTCTTTCAATTTTAAACCCGTACTCATTTTCTTCCTATCCAGCTTTCCTTGATATATATTCTGCATGTAGGCTAAATAAGTAAAGGGAGGTTATACAGGCTTGTCTCACTCCTTTGGATTACTTCTTTATATAGGCTTCTTGCTTTATAGATGCTTCCTATCAGACTTCTCAGCTGGCAAGGCAAAATACTGCAAGAGTTTTTCAGGACGTGAAGACTGAGACAAGCAGATTTATTGTAGCAGAACCATGAAACCATTATGAAAGAATTCCAGTTCCATTTATACTGCAATGAAAATCCAATTTATTTTGCTTCTTTGTCCTGCATCCTCTATGTAAATGGCCAGATACAATTATATTTTCTGTGAAAGTGCACTTTCTGCCCATTCCTTTTTAAGTAGTGCCTTGATCCAGGACTGGGTTGTTTACTTTTGACCTGCTAACTTTCACACCTCCATGCGACCTACCACTATGAAAAGTTAGATTGGTGGAACATGAAAGGCCCTATATTGGGTAGCTCTTCAGTTGCAAACTTCTTCCTGAAGAGATGTCCTGACACATTTCTTAGTTTGAGAAATGCTGTTAAACATTTTTGTTTTACTGTCAGTGATAGCTTTTATGCAGTTGTATGTATTATTTCTTTTGGCTGTTTTGAATAACTACTTTTTCTCTGAATCCTAACTGATGCATGAAAAAAGAAAGACTTGATTTGCACAAACCTTGTGTAGCCTATTTCACTTCAGTACCACAATTAATGCATGCTTTAAGACAGAGCTGTCAAACTCCCAGTTCTTGGGCCAGATGCATCATGCACTGGCTACCCCACACCCAGTTTAGCGAAGGAGAAAAAAGTTCTGATACGTCATGTGACACTGACATGACAACGTGAGTTTGACACCCCTGCTTTAAGCCAATGTTGTTTAATACAATTTTGGCTGACTTTAGGACTGTACCATTTAAGTGGTGGCATCATTATTTTATTTAGTTCTTTATTAAATATATATGCCATATATATAAGTCACCGGGAAGGTTACTTGGGGTGGCTTAAAAATAGTAAAACGATGAACATAAAAACAGTTAAAACTAGGAAGACTTAAATAAGAACTAAAACCAAGGGGATGGATGGCCCATGGTGAAGTTTTCTTACCCTGTCAATCACATCCAGTGAAGATGGATCCCCATCAGGTCCCAAGCCTTAAGACCTTTCTGGAAGGCCAGAAGGGTGGTGGGTAGATCTCACCTCTGGTGTCAGAATGTTCAACAAGGCTGGGACCATACTGGAAAAGGCTGTTCTTGGGCTGAAATTCCTTGATAGACTGAGTTCACAGCAAGCCTCTTTTCCTGGAATGGCTGGCATTCTATACTAGCTGTAGCTTCTGAATGCTTTTGAAGAGGAGCCACATGTAGCCCTTTAGCACAAATCCACCCTGTGTTGAATTTAACAATAAGGTGAAGGTAGAATAAGCATTTGTAGAAGGGATAGTAACTTTGAAAAATGTTAAGACCGTGCTGATGTGTTAGATTGAATCGCTATTATGATTTAGTTCTTCATATATTGTGGGGTGTGTGTGTGTGTGTGTATGTGTGTTTCCATCTATTTGAGATTATAGTGCTATTGCAGAATATGTCCCATGGGTCACAGGGGAATCTACTTTTTCATCGGTATATATAGAAATATGTATAGATGCTTCTAAATCTTATATTTTAGTGATATATTAAATATTCTAAAGAATTTTTGATTCTATGGCATGTTCCCTGTTCCCTCCAACAATACGGCCTCCCCCAATAGGAAGTCCCAGCATGTTTTATAGGCATGAAATGAAATTAAGCCCCCCCCAAATTAAGGCCTATATTAAAACATGCAAAATGGGGGGTAATGGTGGGGGGGCTTGCCGTTAGGAAGTACTTTTGTTGCACACCTGGATATGGTGCTGCCTGTATTGACCCCAATGCGAAGTGCCCCACCAACGCTGAGGTCAACATCCAAGCCATCACCGCCCACCCGCCTGAAGATGCAAGGGGGTGGAATTAAGTCACTCCCGAAAAGATGGCCTAGCCATTTTTTCAGGGCTCAAAAAAATAAGACCCAGCCTTATTATATGAGAAACACGGTATTTCCTTAAGAACAATTAATGAAGAAATGAAGAAGCAAACTACAGTGATGATTTTTTAAAAGTGCTCACTTCTATTTTTGTTTGCCAGATCCCCTTTCATCTAAATTAAAAAAAGGGGCTGATAGAAAAACCCAAAAAGGAATTTTGTTCAAAGAATTGCTGGCATCACTGAAACTACTTTATATACTTAATTTGTTGTTCCTTTTGTTAAGCTTGCTTTAATCATTTAATTGAAATTGTTAGGTTCTTGTTTGTTTGGCAGAAGTATATTGAGTTTTGAAATATGGTGCGGAAGTAATTTCAATTAGTCCAAATGGCATTGTCTTCCTTTAATGTACAAATTATTGATTATAAGGCTATAAAGCAGATTTCTTCAGATTTCTTCTGGCATCAACCAACAGTTTGTATGTACAGTGAAAGTGCTGCTTAGAAATACTGAGACTTATGCAAAGTAGCTGGAACATTACAGGTATACTAGGTTGCAGAAGGGTAATGTATTATTAGTAACTTTTATTATGGAATTATTTGATTCAGTGAAATCAAATGCACTTTAATTATTTGATTCAGTGAAATCAAATGCATAGTTTTTGTTCAAAACTATTTCTAAGAGAAATTGAGGAATATTTTTATGATAGAGTGATCAAAGAAATGTCTTATTAAATAAATACTTAAAACTTTTGTTGTTAGGATATTTTAGGATGTTTTCAAAATTGAAAAGGTACATAGGAGATCTAATACGAGGATAACTCCATGATTTGTAGAACAACATTGACTACATAACTGTATAATTGTTCAGCATCTTGTGTTCCAATCCAAACTAAACATTCTTTTTAAGTTCTGCTGAAACAACTGAAACCATTTAATTGCCAAAGAAATTAAGTCATGTCAGATGTCGTAATTCCCTAAACAATCTAATTTTCTGACATTTGGGATCTAACTCTTCATCCTTCTCACTTATAGGATGTATCAAGGATAAAGCTGACTTTAGGTAAATTACTTATTTGATCTCCATAAATTTAATTTTGCAACTGTAATGGGACTTTGAACCTATGTAAATATGTAGCCCACTTATTCTTCACAAAAATAGTAAATTATAAAATAATATTAAATACTAATGGGTTGTTTTGCTTTGTTCTTTTAGGGCATCAGTAGTCTGTTCAGTTCCCTTAAAGTAGTCAGGCTGCTTCGACTGGGTCGTGTGGCTCGAAAATTGGATCACTATATTGAATATGGAGCAGCTGTCTTGGTTCTTTTGGTGTGTGTTTTTGGCCTTGCAGCCCATTGGCTGGCCTGCATTTGGTACAGTATTGGGGACTATGAAGTTATCAATGAGGATAAAAACACAATTCGAAATGAAAGCTGGCTCTACCAGCTAGGGGAATCCATAGGATCGCCCTATCAATTGAACACAACAACTGGAAAATGGGAAGGCGGACCAAGCAAGGATTCTGTTTATATCTCTTCATTATACTTTACAATGACTAGTCTGACCAGTGTTGGATTTGGGAACATTGCACCTACGACAGATGGAGAGAAGATCTTTGCTGTTGCTATGATGATGATTGGCTGTAAGTATCAATGTATTAATTCTTAACTTAGTCTTTCAAAATGTATGATTTTATGTAACCTTGGCTAACTGTTCACAGTTCTAGTCCGCTCCCCTAGGTCTGCTGGGGGAATCCCCTGGAATAACAAGACATTGAAGTTATAGGAAAGATTTAAATTTTCCCTTTTCCTTACCCCAGGATCTTATTCACTTCAGTAAGATGAAGGAATGATTATTCATCTTTTTTTTTTCCACTATCAGCTCTTCATGATAAATCAGAATCCGCTCCCCAAGATATTTTTGTAACAAACAAGGAAAAGTTAAACATCAATATTTTATTTGGCTGCATAATGAATGCACCGTCTTTTGCAACCAAGAGGAGAGTAATGAGGAACAATTCATTTCTTCAGTCACCTGCTTTGTCACCTGTTCATTCCAAGCTGTGACAAGACTGGGCTGTATAGCAGAGTTTCAGGAAAAAAAAACCCAAGCTTCCTCTGAAACTGCATTGCAGCTTCCTAGGGTGGGTCAGTCAAATAGGCACCCACCACAGGAAGCTGCAATGCATTTTGGAGAGCTCTAGGGCCAATACAGAATGGTCCAATTTTATAATCTTTATATAAAGATGACGATCAAGAAAAAAACAACAGATAATTTGTTTATGTTTTGCAACTGCAACCTACCATGTGGCAGGCTGATAGCTGATTACATAGAATGTGAATCTAGTAAGCATTCAGCAAATAGTGAGAGGGAAGATTGAAACAAGGGTAAGTTGACTTTGGAATAGAATTAATTCTAGTAACCACTTTCCAACAGCATTTATTTCCTGCTGAAATAGCAAGAAATATGGCTTTATATGATAAAAAGGTCTGGCGGATAGATATTAGAATTAATCATGCCCATGATGGCACTGAAGGCTCATTATATACCATGAAGCAACCTCCTCAGACACGTACTATATGACGTTTCCTGAAAAAAAAGTAAATTTATTAATTGAGGTTATACTGGCAAGGATAGAGAGGCTTTTGTGGCTATCAAACATTTTAATTGGAGTGATTTCTAAATGAATTGGGACAGTCTTAATTTACTGGCATTAATTTACAGTAAATCTTAAATATTCTTAAACAAATCTATAAGTGTAAATATTTAGTGCACTTGTATATTATCTTATTTGAAATGATAATGATGGTGGAAATGTGTGCCCAGAAGGGAGCATTTTTCATTTAAAATATTAAATACAAATGCCCAAATTGTCCTGTTAAAACAGACTGTGGTTGCAGTAGAAATTCTGGCCTGTTGGTTCCTGTATTGTGCCCTAGGACGTATGCAATAGTCCAGGGGTGTCAAACTCAAGGCTCGGGGACCGAATCTGACCTGCGGGGTGCTTAGTTCTGGCCCACAGGGACGCCCTGTTGGCCCATAGTGCCTTTGCCAGTGAAAATGGAGCTCAGGAGGGCCGCATGCGAGCTCCATTTTCACTGGCAGAGGGTTGCAGGAGCCGTCGCAGCCAAAAATGGAGCTCAGGAACCCGTTTTCTCTGACAGAGTACTCGGACCACCGCAGGTACCCCCAACACAAGTGATGTTGAGCTGGCCATGCCCACCTTAGACACGCCCACCCCATTCCCCTGAAGTCAAACACAATCCTGATGCGGCCCTCAATGAAATCGAGTTTGACACCCCTCCAATAGTCTGTTCAACAAATAGTGCCATATATAAAACAACAAGGCACACATCTGTCTCAGTTAAGTGTGATTACTTTAATTCATAATTATCCTGACCTTTTCAATTTTCTGTAGCAGTGTTCTGTGCCTGACAACTCCTTACAGTATCAACTCCAGTCTTTTAATCAGCATTGACAAGAAAAATAACACGACTCTCAAATAATTCACTGGAGCCCAGTGAGGTTTTGTTGTTTGTGCAGATGTTTTTGTTCAGGGAAGATTCTGCAATTTTTAATCCATCTAGCAGAAAATCAAATACAATAATATCACATAAAATATTTCCAATGGAATCAAGGCACTTAACTAATAATATATACATCTTTGTATATTATTCATGGTTTTTTTAATAGAACTTAAATAAATGGGCATAAAACTTAATCAAAAACTTCAAAGCATTTAGTACGTGTGGCCAGAATAACCTGCATAATGTATCATCTGTTATGGATACATTTTGATGGTTGGGAGGAATATGAAGGGAATAATTGTAATGAATGGAAATTGTGACATTCCACTGTGAAAACAAGTTCCCTTTGTCTAATGTGCAAAACAGTAGTGTGTAAAAAAATATTTAAGTATTTTTCTCTCATTCATTGCAAATGCAGTAGTAGCCTATCTGCATAAGCTACTTTGAAAAATGAAGCTCATGACTCACTGAGAGAGGAAAGGGGGTATTAGCAGATAATGCTAGAGGCATCATGAAAGAATTTATGCTGAAAATTAATTTAATGCTTGAGATGCTTCAGTACTGGAGCAGAATAAAAAAAACTTGTAGAAAATTTCTAGATCACTGAAACTAAAAGTGCTTAACTTGAATCTGTAGTAGGCATATCTGTCCTATAATGCTGTATGGATTTTTGGGTTGAAGGCTGTATTGGTTCCAATATTTTATGAAAGTTTTAGGAAACTTGACAGAGAACTGACCAGCTTATGTAGTGCTGTATTATCATTTCTTAGAAATTTTTTACTAAAGTTGAATACATTTTTATACAATGGAGTCCTTAGTGCCCTCCAGAATTTGATTGTTTGCTTGCAGATGTTTCATTACTCAACTAGGTAACATCATTAGTATTAGTGATTGTGGGTTTTGCTCCCTATTTATATACAGTAGCTGGCACTGCCTATGTTGATAGGGATGTGGTTTCTCTTTGGTAGTTCCTTGATTGGGGTATTGTTCTCTGCTTGATTATTTGTTCTAGTGTTGTTAATTCCTGCTAATCTGGAAGTTGCTGCTGGAGATAATACATTCTGGGTTTTTTGTTTCCTTGTTAGCTTTTTTATTGTCTTTTTGAAATGGCAAATAAATACAGCTTATCTCTCTGTGTCTGTTGAGGATTGATTTATCTGAACGCCAAGTTTCTTGGAATTCCCCAAATCCAAGCAATTTGGATTTAGGTTGGCCTAAGATTCTCATGATTTCCCAACTGAAATTGCAGTTTAATCTGTGCATGTGTTATGAAATTAAGGAGCCTTTCATTATGTCTTCTGACTGCTAGTTGGTGTTCATGGATGTGCTCTGCTGCTTTTCTGCCTGTCTGTCCTACATAGTGGCTGTACGCTGTAAATGACTCTTTTTTTCTTTAGCAATTTGGTCTTTTAGTTTACTAAATGTATTTTGGATGGCTACAGTTTTGTGTGCTATGCTGATGCTGTGTGATTGTAATAGGCTGTTGGTTGTTTCTGAGACATTTTTGATGTATGGTGGTATTATTCTTTTCATAGGATTGGTTGATTGTGCTATAGTGGGTTGAATGCACAGAATTTTTTTGATAAAATTGCATGGGTCATTTAAAAGAGTCATTTAAAAGAGTCATTTTTGTTGGAAGAGGTTGAATAGATGATCTGGATGCTGCAGTGCAATTTATTGATTTATTTTATTATATTTTATACTTCTTAACCACCCATCTCCCTCAGAGGACTCTGGGTAATGAACATCTGAGTAATATTCTTAAAATCACCTCTTATGGGAGGTTGGATTGTTACTTTCATAATGGAACACTTGGTTGTATGGGTTGTTTTTCATAGACTTGTATTAATCATTGTTTCTTCTGCTGATTAAGATACCCAGGAAGATTAGTGTGGTGTTCTTCATCTCTTCCCTTGTAAATTTTATTCCTTTGAAGATGCTGTCTATTGTTTTATATGTCTTGCCTAGTTGTTCTAATACCAGATCAATATTTTTGGTTGTATAAGTGTAGGTGATATAGTTTTTAGATTCTACCTACTCTACCTACTACCCACTATAATACTTACAAGTGGTGATACCATGGGTATTCTTCTGATTTGTTGTTATATTTGTCCATCAAACTGAAAGTAGGTAGGTAGTGAAGCAGAGATTGATGAGGTCCATGATTCAGGATATTTCAATTTTGGTATATTTGGCTAGATCAGGTGCGTTGTGTAGTACTGCTACCATTGATTGTATGCAATGTATACAATCTCAGAAGGCTGTGATTTCTTAGAATGATACATTCTTTTTGTGATGTTAACTTTTTATATCACTTAATTAAATAAAGATATTGAGTAAACTGGGGATTTTTCTGTAACTGAAGTCTTTTCTTACTTCAGTTACAGAAAAATAACAATAGCAATAGCACTGAGACTTATATCTACTTCACAGTGCTTTTACAGAGTCAGCAATTGCCCTAAAAATCCCAAATCCTTCAGTCCACTCAATATCTTGCCGATATTCCATTGAAACAGGAGAAATGAGAGACTGTACTTGAATGCATACCTTTTTGATAGTATTGAATACAGTGGGCCTTCCATCCAAGGCAAAAAGTAAGCAGATTGCATTTTTAATATTCATTCAGAATAACTGAGGTCTATATGGTTTATCTTACTTTCCCAGTTACTTATGTGTTTCATCTCATATTTATCTTAAATTGTTCACCATCAAAGTAAAAATGGGAGACCAACAGAGAAATGAATATTTGTTCAAATATTACAGTTTAGAAGAAAGAATGCAACAGCCAAAAAGGACTAACTTTTCAACTTTAGGTACATTGGTTGTACTTGTAGATGAATTTTACCAGAGCTAGGATGAGGGTGGAGTTGGGGCTCCATGATTTCTTGATGGCTTTCAATATCATTGACCATGATGTTCTCCTGGACCAGCTGCAGTGGTTGGGAGTGGGATGCACTGTGTTGCAGTGGTTTGCTTCCTACCTCAGTAGTTGTTTGGGTCTGGATGCAGCAGAATAGACTTTGGCTCCATCCTGATAAGATTGAGTGGCTGTATCCCACGCCCACCCTTCAATCAGGGTTGTTTTCATTGTTGATCTTGGATGGAGTAACACTTC